GACTTGACGGCAACGGGTTTGTTTTTTTTTGTTTGCTTTCATTTGTCAGGTGCTTAACAAAAAATATCACATCTTGCAAAACAATTATTATTATTGTGGATTATTATTATACATTACAGTAATAATTACCTCTTTTATAGATGAGGAACTAAGGTTCATAGTGCTAAGCTTGTGTTTAAGTGCCAGGGCCAGGATCTATAACTAGGTTGACAAACCCCAGCACGGCTGAGACCCCACCAGTATGTACCAGGAACAGTGCTAGTTACGTAACAAAAAGACGAGTTAAACAGAGCCCTGTCCTTAGGATACTCATTCTGGCAGGAGAGGCAGATTAAACAAAGAACAATCTGCTAGGAGAAAAGTGAAGAAAAGAAAGTTAACATCTACTTCATGGGCAATACACACCATTACCTCCTAAACCGTGAACCTCACTATTTAGAACTTACTAGACTCTATATAATTAGATCTTGTATTAGACTTCATTTCCTGTAGTCTTACTTCTCCAGCTGATTGTCTTCGTCTTGAAATGAGAAGCCATGCTTTCACATGGTTCGTAAGATCCTAACATAGGTGTTCCAGATATATTTATGAAGGGATTGGCTGATGGGCTGATCTTTTAGTATGGCAGCAACTATCCATTCTAAAATGACACATTTGAAATGTATGCAAGGACCTAGAATTTTTCAAAAACATTACCAAAAATCAAACCAAACCCATTGCCATGGAGTTGATTTCAACTCACAGTGACCCTACAGAAGATACATTAATTGCTACTTACACCATCTCTTTCCATTTAAACCTAACTTTACTGTCTTTAAAGATGGTTAGTTTTAATCGGTAGTATTACCAATACTTAACTACTTTCACTCAAGACATTTGAGAGTTCTAATGAATTTCAGCAACTAAGTTTTGGTAGAGAAGACAGAGCCAGCAAAGCAAACAGCAGCTAAGGAAATTGAGGAAAAGCTAGGGAATTAGAGAGAAAATCAGGAGAGGAATGTCAAGAAGTGAAGAAACTAGTGCTTTGAAAAGGATGTGGTCAATAGAGTTAGTGCTACTAGAAAACCCTTTGCCGTCGAGTTGATTCCGACTCATAGCGACCCTACAGGACGGAGTAGAACTGCCTCATAGTTTCCAAGGGGCGCCTGGTGGATTCAAACTGCTGACCTTTTGGTTCGCAGCGGTAGCACTTACCTACTATGCCACGAAGGTTTCCAAGTGCTACTAGAAGTCAGGTAAACTAAGAACTAAAATTATCATTTGGTTTCTACACTGTAGACATTGCTGTATCCTAACAAGAGCCTAGAATGCAGAATAGGAGTGAGCTGAGGACTTATTTGAGGTGAGGAAAGAGACAGGAAGGATAATTGGGTTGTAAAATGTGACCGTGAAGGGAAAGAGAAAGGTTCATTGGTAAGAGGATAGAGATGGAAGGTTGAGAGAGGACTGCCATTTTGTTTTGTTTTTAAAATGAGAAACACGACCATGCAAGCATTTGTTTTCCACTGATTTGCATTAGTATTACAATAACGACAGAAACCGTTTTTTTCATTACAGTAAAAAGCATTACCATATAATTTTTCAATTCCCTTGAACTGAACATAAAGGTCTCTCACTTTGCTGGGTAATGAATAAAAAGGACCACGGTCATCTGATGATGACTCAAGTGTTTTCTTAGCAACATTAATTTCTTCAGATAGGAGAGTCTCTTTGAGCTGTTTAGTCTTAGAAAATACTGGTGTTTGGGCCTTGGCATTTCCAGTCATGGTACTTTTTAGATGATCTTTAAGACTTTTTCTCCTAGTCGTATCGGAACTAGTTCGTACTTCAGAAGAAGATTGATCATTTTGTTGGGGTTGCTCTATGCAACTATGGGACAATTCCTCATTCACAGTCTGGTGAGAGGATGAATTCCAATCCTTTTCTTTAGTAAACTGATTGCCCCAGTCATTTGAAGAGTTCTGCAAATTTTCAAAGTATAAAACCTGTGAAGAAGGTACATCATACAAAAGATCAGTTCCAGGTTCAATAGCAACATCCTCCTGCCCACACTGGTTCTTTGTGGGCTCATCAGTTTTCAATGCAGTAAAGTTGTCTACAGTAGTAATGTTGAGTTTACTGTCTTTGATGCTTTCTGAACAAAGATCTTCAATGGCAAGGTCTGTATCATGTTCCCTATGCTCAGGAAGTTGCATATATTTTTGTTCCAGGTCATCAACTTGAGCTAAAAAAGAGTTTTCAGTAAAGCTATCATAGTCACCAAACATATCCTCTTCACTGTCATACTAGAAAGAAAGCAAAAACATTTAAGATTAATTTGAGCTTTATTAAGAATAAAAGCTTCAGCCTA